TGTGGCTTCAGGATCTGCTAGAGCAATGCTCGGCATACAGTCAGCCTGCAGTAGGTAGCTGTTAAAGGAATGAATGAGGCCAGTCGGGAATGAAGATAAACACCTCTGAGAACTGTGCTCCTAGTCGATGAGAAAAAAGGATTGGACGCTACTGCTGGAAAGGGGTAGCTGGTATATTCATTCTCTTGTAGAATTGTCGTTGAATCAACTCCTGGAGTCAGTCATCCTCTGCCACCAGCTACCCCCACGACACACTCTCTCTGTGCTAGCTACCCTGCGCTAGGGTGGATCTCACAGGGTAAGAAGATACCAGACAGGCAGGCAGCAGCCACGGGTTTGGGAAACCAGAGGACAGCCTCACCTTCACCTGCTTGTTCCTCTTGTTTGGCTCAGTAATTCACTGGCGTGACCAGCAGCTCACGGACAGCACTGTACTTAGAATTCTAGATCCGTTGTAGCAAAGGGATACAAATCAGGATCATTGGGAAGAAGAGATGCAGGTCTAAGAGGTTCCCAGTGTGGAGTTTCCATGTCCTGGAGAGGGCACATCACCCTCGTTGCCAACCGGGAAGCTCCCTGAGCCCTTGTGTCCTGGGTTTTATTGACCAGTCCCGCAACATGGGCTAAGTCCTGCCTCCTGAGGCTAGTTGAGAGCGGCCCCCAGGTGAGTCTTTTCTGTTCCGCCGGCTCCCACTTCCAGACAGATCCGCAGCAGTGCCCTGGAAGTCCTAGACCAAGACCTCCCCCCTACTCTACGGGTCCTTTTTCAGGAACCAAGGACAGAGGCTATCACGTGTTGGGTGAAGCTCACTTCTTTACTCTGCAGCTGGATGATTTTGGGGTCAGCTAAAGATTCTCTTCTCACCCTTTCTTTTTAAAGCTTCACTATAACGTGACTACTACGAGATTAGTGAACCCAGACCAACTCTTGAACGAGATAATATCTGTTCTCCCAAAGAAGCACGTCGATTTCGTACAAAAAGGGTAAGAAGCACATTGACCAGGCCTTGTATTTATTACTTGTTGTCTTTTGGGCTTTAAGAAAATACCCATTTACTTGTTTTTTTAAAAATCCCTCTCTCCCACCTCCTTCTGAAGCTTTTCTAGTGGTGCCTTTGCTCATAGTGTGGTCTCTTTGGGACAAGTTCTCGAAGCACCTGTACTGTCCCCACTTTCAGAACTGTACTTTTACCTCAAAATAAAGAAATGTGAACTTCTCCCAGTTTTCATTTAAATCCTCTATTTTCTGTTTTAAGGAGCTCTGGTAGCATAGTGCCTAAGGCACTTGACTGCTAGCCAGAAGGCTGGCAGTTCAAACCC